GTTATATCAATCTACGGCTCAGTGAATATACTCGAAATAGCTATTTACTAATATCCCCACCCACTTGAAATGAAATCTTTGATAAAAACTGCACTCTAATTTACAGCATTCACTCGACATATGAACGGAAAGCGATCAAAAACGCTGGTGACGATATACTGAAAACAATGTAAATTACTTAAGTCAACGAATAATTAATGTATGTTTTGTAATAAATCTTGAATAATCAACTCCCAAGAGAAAAATCATACCATCGATATCATGAAAGGATCTAAGTTAGACTAAAGTTCGCAACCTTGAGGAAACGGGGAGCTTCCTGAAGCTCTTCAGCAGTGCTCATCCACAATCCCGCTATCGGAGATTGAACTCAGAAAGATGGCAGTGAGATATCGTAAATTAGTTAAATATAAACTTAGACACCATTAGATCCTAGCTCAGCGGTCTAGAGCTTAGGCGTTTTCGCGCGAGACCGAAGGTCTTAAGTCCGATTCTCAGTGGCTGAGGTCTTGGATGCATTTTGCTGAGGAGTCCAATGGAAAGATAAATCAAATGTCCAATGATTTCAGGTTTTTAGGAGTTGTCCAACATAGATCGATTCTTGATTTCAATAAAACTATTATTTAAGTTTCATAGTGTTTATTACTTGAACTTTGTAAAAGAATATATTTCATAGATCGCTTAGAACAGAAGACAACAGATGCTGAACAGTAGATGGTTAATTGATTAATTATATCATGAATTTTTACCTATTTCTATTCCATAAAGATTAAAAATGTAAAATAACGTTATAGTTTCCAATAGACGAAATAAATTATATAACATCTAAGTATGTTCTTATACAAATTTCCAAGTTCACGATAGTATATACCATTCGCAATGTTGAATAGAATCCTCTTTATACAATCCGTTTAAGTCTTTTAAGCTATTAATCAACTAGTGTATGATAAAAGTACTAATTTTAAACTGGTAATAAAGAAGCTATGTGAGATATTCCTTCAATAACATTTATAACTTTAGATTTATTCAGTACATATGTAGATTTGAAAACATCACGCTTATTATCAAATAGCATTTGGTACTAAAAAAAACTAGATTAATATAGACCTCTAATGATGACCAATAAACTATTAACCTATTTTCATAATTCACAAAAGAGAAATTTAAACTAATGTGAATAACTTTCTCTTTATGGGAACGAAAAACATTTGTTTTCACTGTAATATAAGTTACAAATGTAAACAATTTTATGCTAGTAAATGTAAAAAATAAGGCATTTTAGAAACCAAAGGTGAATCACCCTAATTCATTTGAATGACAGTTTAACTCATGCATCGGAAACTGATAAATGAGATAATACAACAAATGACTGATTTATTAATAAATATCACTGCCAATGTTAACTTACTTACTTACATCTGTTATTCCTAGTGGAGGAGCATAGGACGTCCACCAGCCTTCTCCATCCAACCCTGTTCTGGGAAATTCTTTCCAGTTCTTTCTAGTTGTTTTTTAATTTATTTTCATATCTACTTCTATTTTCCGACGTAATGTGTTCTTTGACCTTCCCCTTTCCCGCTTCCTTTCAGGATTTCAAGTTAGGGCTTGCCTCGTGATGCAGTTTGATGATTTCCGTAGTGTATATCCTACCCACTTCCAACGTTTTTTCCTAATTTCCTCTTCAGTTGGAAGCTGGTTTGTTATCTCCCACAAAAGGCTGTTACCAATGATATAGGACCAATGGATGTTGAGTATCTTGCGGTTACATTAAATAATTTAAAATAAAGTTAATTTAAACTTGATTTGGTGACAAAAACCTGGTCAACTCTAGACATGCAATTCCACTAGAATCATCATTCATCTATATTTGCAGTCCAAAAAACTGAATCAAATAAAGTTTATATCAGATATTTTTGTACAATACAGACTATAGCGATCATCAGTTTAACCTTGACTTTTTTACTCAGAGTTACATATTCAGAACAGAATTCTATGAAGAATACTGTCGGGCGGCCTAAGTTTCTTCATATGGCTAACAAGCATAAGTAAGAAAATAATTTACTACACGAAACATTCATGTTTTAGTGGTACATTCCGTTGAAACTATCTATTTCAGAAGGGTTTTTGTGGATATTATAGTAATTTCAATGGTTCATATCATGAGTCAATTAAAGCTAAACCACATGAAAAACTTGGAAGCACTGGACAGCCATTTCATCCTATTGTGGGACTCCTTAGCAGTGCGCATCCACGACCCCGCCCTCCGCGAGATACCGGCCGGTTCAGTGGTCTAGTGGTTAAGCGCTCATGCGCGAGACTGATAGATCCTGGGTTTGAATCCCTCGAGGCGGTGTCGTGGATGCACACTGCTGAGAAGTCTCACGATGGGACAAAACGGCCGTCCACTGATTCCAAGTTTTTCATGGTGGTTTAGCTTTAAATGAATCATGATCCGAACCATTGAAATTACCATCGATTTCATCAATTATTTCATACACTTATGCAAACGGAATAAAATAAGTTTATTTTTAATTCATCCAATTATCTATTGCATTTATTGTCTCAAATTTATTCTCATTACTAAACCCAAAGTTTCTGAACATTTCATCATTCGGTAGCATAAAAGCAAGCATTAATTTTATTAATTTTTTACTCGAGTTGCATACATTGTTTTCTTAAAGCACACTTTTGACACTTAAATAAAGTGTTTGTCTTAGCTTTTATTTGTAATAGCAACTAAACCTTAATTTTAATGTTTTGATGAAATAAAATGGAATGCAATTGATTTACTAATATTCCGTAACTTTTATAAACCTTCTGTTGTTTACTTCAATGACCTGTAGCCTGAATTTTAGCAGACATGAAATTTATCATGTTGTAGACTTCCGCGTGAAAATCATTCAATTATTGTATCTTGAAAAATCAGTGGTCAATGAATATCCATTTATTTATAGTTTAAGATTATTATTTTCTAAGCCCTTAAAGATTAGATAAAATAAAGCTCTGTAATTCTTAATCGTGAAGTAAGCACATAAACACCCTGATTATGTCGTCATTCAGTTGGTTACTTTTTAAGCAATATAAACTTTTAGATCCTACACTGACAACATTCAGTATTGACAGTGGAAATCTTTTTTAAATCTTCCGTTGTTTCGTTTAGTTGAGAAATTCAATAATAATAGGTCAAAAGTTAGCATTGAGGATTGTGTATTTAGCACAAAAAGGATGTACACTCAGATGGTGGAGATTTGTAGCTCAGGTCGTTGATTTGGTGAGGTTTCGTTCTCCGTGCTAGTGTCACAACAATTATTTGAATGACTGTACATAAAACTAATCCAGTATTCTGCTTGGTCATATAATATACGTGTCACTATCAAAAGGGGGCTTTGTGCAAATTTTAGTAATTTAACAGTTGAATTCATGAATCACTTAAAGCTAAACTGCCATGGAAAACCTGAAAGCACCAAACGGCCATTTTGTTCTAGTATGGGACTCCTCAGTAGTGCGCACCGACAGATCCCGGGTTTGAATCTGGCGGGAGGGATTGTAGATGCGCCCTGTTGAGAAGTCCCATACTAGGACGAAATGGTTGTCAACGTTTTTCATAGTGGTCTAGCTTTAATTAATTCATAAATTCAACTATTAAAATACGTGTAACTATTACGAACATTTTAATTCAGTTTTGTATTAGTTCTTTGAATCTTTCCATTTATGTTTAAGACTGTAATTGATCAGTCTCTTATTGACATATGTAAATCCTGTACAGATTACCTTGATATAACCTAAAGTCACAAGCATTATTAAGCAAAGCTGGATAGTAGCTAGTAGTCAAATCCAAGACTCACTTTTCATTCTATTTGATACTTATTAGCTGAATTAAAGTACATTCCATAATTGATGTATACCATTCATTTCAAATATCATCAGATTATCCAACTAACGTTTTACAACTAATAATTGTTTTCACTGATTGAAATCATGAGTCAATTGAAGCAAGACCACCATGGAAAACCTGGAAGCACTGGAAGACCGTTTCATTCTAGTATGGGACTCCTCAACAGTGCCCATACACGATCTCGCACCCCGCGAGATTCGAGCCCAGGACTTATCAGTCTCGAGCCAGGCACTTAACCCCTGCTCACTAGTGACTGACTTCAATAGATACTGCTGGAGTTCTAGTGAGAAGCCGTTACCAGTGGAGTTCAACCAGGTCTGTTGTGAGATAGGAACTCACTGAAGACAATGGTGTACGGTGGCGCAACTTCGTGGTTTGGTTGAAGTTAGACATTAACACCGTTGGATGCGAGTCAGTGATCTAATGGATAAGCGCTCGCACGCGAGACTGGTAGGTTCTGGGTTCGAGTCTTGCTGGGTGGGAACGTGAATGCGCACTGTTAAGGAGTCCCACAATAGGACGAAACGGCCGTCCAGTGCTTCCAGGTTTTGCATGATGTTCTAGCTTCAATTGACTCATGACTTGAACTTCTGAAATTTCTAAGATCTCCACAAAACCCCTTCTGATAGTAGTTTTTTTATTTATAAAATTATCCAATAGTATTACATTATTTTTTTTAAAATAATGACTATCATTGGTCAAATACAGTATCTAATCAAAAAACAGATTGATAAAATGTACTTGTATTTCTTTTTTTGGATAAAAGTAAGAGTTTACTTTTCTCATGGTACACTAGATAAACAACAAAAAAACAAACAAACAAAATAACACAGAAACAATCATGAATTCGATTATAAATTTTTATATCAAACTTTATTAAAATGATATTAATTTCTTATATATAATGAATATAAATTATAAATTATATATATATTTTAATAATCCTATTTAAAAGTAAACAAAATAAATCACCAATAATAATAACTATCTATAATCAATTAAAAATCAATCAATCAATTCGTTAATCAATTAATCAATCAATCAATCAATCATCCAATCAATCAATGAATTGATCAATCAATTAAAAAAAAAACACACACACACAACAATGAATATTAGTTATGTAATTTCAAATCATAATCATTTATTAAAACAACCATTGATTATTACTATAACATTATATGATTATTTATGTAAATATTTTCTTATATGGTATTTACCTATAGTAATAACATTAGGTTTTTTTGGATCAATATTTTGTTTATTATTTTTATTCTATTGTAAAATCTTTTCATCAAATTTATTAATATGGTTAATAAGTATATGTATTGGTGATTTTTTAATAATAATTACTGAAGGTATATGGATGTTATTAAAAATATGGTATAAATTAGATATTAGAGATTATAATAATTGGTTATGTATAATACATATAAGTTTATCAAATTATTTATTTTATTGGTCAGCCTATATGCAATGTATATTATCAATACAACGTTGTTATCTTATATTATATCCATTTAAAATTAAATCAAAATGGATTTTATTAAATAAATTATTGATTTATCAATTTATAATATCAATTTTATTAATTATACCAATATTACCATATCCATTATATTGGCAAATTATTAATAATGATTGTGATCCAATTAATGAAAAAATATATCGTTTAATAACATTATGTGATTTAATATTATGGGGATTAATACCAGTATTTATTATGACTACATGTACAGGAATAATATGTCGTCATTTATTAATAAGAAATAAATTTACAAATAAAATGATACAATCTAAAATGAAAATAAATCAACCGAATAATAACTATTATTATTCATCTTATACAATGAGAAATATCAATGATTTATGTAAAATTCATGATCCAAAAGATACTGAACTACATAAAGATCATCAGAAGAAATCATATTGTACAGAAAGTATAATATTAAATCAACAAAATATATTGACTATTAATAATCATATCATCCATTCAATGAATGATATTCATACAACAAATGAATTAAATAAACGTAAATATATTACACAAGATAGTCATACACATGTAACACCATTATTATTATGTATGAATTTTGTTTATATGGCTAGTGTATATCCATTACTTATTTATTTTTTATATTTAAATTTCATTGTAAATAATATTGATAATAATATGCATAAATTTTTATACTACTTATTTCGTAGTTTATGCTTATTAAGTACATGTACTAATTGGATATTTTATTGTGTTGCTGGTAAAAAATTTCGTGATCATACAAAACAATTATTATTATCATTATGTAATTCTAATAAAATTTCATCAATTATTAATGAAAATGGTTTCTTAATTATTAAATATACTGATAAGCATAGATGTTCCGTTTCAAATATAACAAGAACTAAAGGATTATCATCATCATCGGATAATTAAACAATTCAAACATTATTAATCAATTATATATTATTATAAATTTGATAATTGAATTGAATATTCATGTTGATTAATCTATATAATGCCTTGAATCCCAATAATGAATGATCCTAACTATTATTTCCATACAATTAATAACTTAAATAAGCTATTTGTGATTCATTTTGTAGAAAATGAAAATTATTGTATCATTTCTTATTCATTTAATTGTCGTGAAATACGTAAGAAATTGTTTCCTTTTTCTTAATTGATATAAATTATTGAAAACATTCAATTAAGTTTGTTCATCATTTCATTGTAACATTTATATTAGTTCAGAATCAGAATAACATTTTCTTTTCTTTCTTTTGTTTAAAGTTACATTTCATATTGTCATTCGTTTAGTTAAAATATAAATTCATCAAATAGCCATACCTGAACATTAATATTGAAGAGAATAGACAAAACAATTCCTTGGAAGTACCCGAAAAGAAAGATTTTGAAATTCTTATTTCTAAGCAACAAATTGTATATATTTACACAATAAAATACTCATTGGAAGTAAAAGTAGATTTCTCATCAGATAAAGTGGTTCTGTTATAACTTAAAGCCTTATGCCATAATATATATATATGAGCAGTTTAGGGTCTTTATCGGTCATTCTTCCTGCCTAACCTTATTTGTTAAGTCTAGAACATTAATCTCAGACTCTGTGATATGAATCATGTATTTCATGGATACTGGGTTTATATACAAACCAAACAGACTACATACTACCATAAAATAGAAAGTAACATTTTTACAAGATCTAGTCAAAAGTGACTGTGAATTCAAGAGACTGTAATTAATAGATTGGGCATAACTAAAGAGCGGTAAATCGTACAATAATAGTATACGATTCAAAATAAAGTTTATACTAAGAACCTTGATTATGTATAGTTTAATCACTTAACAATTATGCAATAAGAATATATGTATCGTATTGGTTCGTAAATAGTTCTCTAAAGTTACCATTCATAATTCTGGTTGGGATATAACAGGTTCATGGGTAACTAAAAATTTGAGCATTGCTCTTGATTTCGCATTACATTAACAATAGAAATATTGATAAGTTTGTAATACCATTGCTTATCATCTATATTGGTTACTTTTTGTGTTATTATTATTTCATTCTTTACATCATTGAAAGTATTTCATGCTGTTTATTACAGATCCATAACTCTATTATTTAAACACTTATCCTTTTAACTGTTAATTAGAGATGTAACCCATAACTGATACTTTCAAATGGTTTCATCTACTCCCTCCACTGTTGACTTTACATTATGTGTATAAATTGGATATTGATTACTGAATTAAATATTCTTTATTATTATGGATACTACAAGTCATATGTAACTGAAACCAAAGTATGAAATATAATTATAAGTTTTGTAAATCTCACTGTCTTCTTTTAAATACAGAAATGTAATTTCCAATGCAGATCTTGTTGATATTTTCTAAAAGGTTTGAAGGCAATTTGTTATTATGGTAACTGAGGAAAAGACAGTAAACATAGTTAATTTAATTCCTACTTTAAATAGTCATACGTTGATGAAACATAATGGTCGTTTATCATAATCTTTGATTGTATTCCTATATTATCATTATTAGAAAAATAGCAACAGTGTGACTACTTCCAGTCATTCATTATTTGAAATAAAGTTATATTTTTTCGAAAATACTTAGAGTTAGTATGGGGATGGTATGTTCAAACTATGATATAATGCACTACCGTTTAACAATTTCTACAATCCTTTACTGATGATCTTTTTCTTACTGAATAGATATTAAGCATGTATTTTCTTTGATAATTTCATTCTCTAAATTGTATTACTAGCAATTTATTCTATTTTTATTAAAAAGTTGTAGTCAATTGCTCTAAACATTGAACTTTAAACCAACAAGCTGAATTTGAACGTACATTTTCATCTATTATAATTTAAATAACTGTGAAGAATCATTCATCATTGTGAAATGAGAATGAGTCTAAGTTAATTTGAAAAAAAAACTACCTCTTATTGATAAATTATGGTAGATTAATCTAGAATTTTATTAATTGAAATCATGAGTCAATTAAAGCTAGATCATCATGGAAAACCTGAGAGCACTGGATGGCTGTTTCGTCCAATCGTGGATGCCGCACTGTTGAAGAGTCCCAAAATGGGACTAAAACCCCTTCTAATACTAATCTAGAATTGTTTATTTTCTCGATATACATTTTTATTATAAACATTTGTCTTTTTATACTAACGATAGATTATTTCATATATGAACAAGTAAATTTGATTAATTAAGGTAATTAAATGAATATAAGCTAATTAGACATTTTATTCACAATGGAATGATATTTCTGTTTAGATTTCAAATGATTTCCTTATAAAAAATTAAGAAATTAGTTAGAACAATTAAATTAATACACACCATAAATTTTATTTATCAGAAAACAAGTGGGATATTTGGGTTGAGATAGATTCTTTGTTTATTTGTTCCCATACAAACAATCAATGTGAATCTTTTAAAATTTCCCATTTTTTTAAATGTTCTTTTCCCTGCTAATTTCAATGTTTAAAAAAAGAATCAGGATTAAAAGTTTTCTAAATTTTGATAAAAAAAAATAACTAGTAATTGTTTTAATGAATGTGAAGTATGACAACATAGCAGATATATCCAGCTGATAAGTTTGAAATATGAGGGGACGCCGTCCCTGGATTTCAATATTAACCATATCCTATTTACTCTATAAAAATTTGTGTTAACACACTAGGAACTAGTGTAGTTCATAGTGTAGTTTCATAAATGTCTATCAAGTGTAGAAATTGAGAAATATTGTCTATTATAATACATATTTGTGAAAATTAGTCCTCATTTGCTTCAATCCCTTTATCAGCTACTATCGTACGAGGGTGTCTATATTTTGTGTTTCCTAAAGTTTCTAATCTGTTTTATGGTCCTTAATATATGCCATGGTTGACTTCTTTTGATATCTGATTATTACTTTTAGCTTCTAATTTCTTCTGATGTTAGTTTCCACAGTCCGCTTCATTGCTGTAAGAGATTTTCCTAACTCCACTAACATTAGGTGCACCATCATAAACCAAAGCACTCTTTAGCTATTTTTGACCTATGTTATTTGAGCCTGTCAAAATGTGGATGTCAATTCGTGTCAGATCAATGTAAATGAACATAATATTGTATGTACCATATAATGACGATGTTTGAGATCTAGTTGAGTAACTCGTGAGTGTCTAAGATTATCCGTACGCCAGAAACCTTGGTAGTCATCGTACTTAACTTGCTATTCTCATTTTCATAAGCCTCTCAATGAAAAAATTTAGCTTTGTCTTTCATCAAATATAATATATCGGCTCTTAATGTCGATCAGCTTTGTGTATCCTCAAAATATAGGATGTAGTCTGCTGATGTAATAATTCTACAAATCTGTGATTGCTTTGACACTTGAATCTCCATTCTGATTGTCTACAAAATCTACTATTGAGAGTAGTAGGTAGCTAATTAATAGTTTATTGCTATAAGATTCCTATCGGTTATAATTATCATCAGCATAGGGTTGTAGAGATTGCTGAGTTTTAATTAAAAACGAAGGTCAAGGGTTTGAGTCTGGCATGAAGGATTGTGTATGCGCACTGCTGAGAAGTCACATGCTAGGACGAAACAACCGTCCAGTGCTTCCATGTTTTCAATAGTGGTCTAATATTGATTGGTTCATGATGTCGATTAACAATAATAATTGTCTTCCTTATTATATGTTTAATGCAATATGGAATTCATAGCATAAAATATTTTAACTATTTACCTTTATTCTCCGTGGGCGTCACAAAAAGTACACGCAAATACAATAAATAAGTAAAAATATACATAATTGACTAAAATTTGTGTAAGAAAAGAAGGATCTTTACTTAGTGAATATTGTGCATGTTCCACAACATTTTTTTAGCATTATAGATGTAATAGATACAGTATTGTACACTTTTTATACTTTGCTTTATGTATATGATGTTGATGCATCATTCTGCTAAAAAAACATTATTGAAATTGATTGTCTCTGTCGGGCAAAAATACTTTTGCCACTTATTTAGAAGATCTTATGTATTCATTTAGAATCATATCCATAAGAATGTTACCGATCTCACTGATGGACATATTAATACTCATCATTACTCTATGCAACACAGGATAACAGGTAACATACAAGAATTTAAAAAAATCATAAGTATAAAGTAATTCTACAAACACATAGCTTTTGTAGATAATGCATAAAGTAAAAACTTTATCCAATATTGAGGAAATTTTTTGAAGGCCAAAACAAGTAAAGAGCAAACATGAAATCATGATAGATGGCGTTTAAAGTAGGTTTTCATTGGAAAGCCCTCTATATTACATACTTTGTGTTACTCCAACAAAGTGTTTAGGTGCCTTTCATGCCTCATAACAAAGTTCAAAGATAGAAATTTAGGAGCATTTAGTGTAGACTATTAAAAATAGATAATCGTTTATTGTGCGTTGAGACAGTTACAAAAGGATTGTATTCATTTAATTAAACACAATATTGGTTCAAATACATATGTACCACACTTCGTTATTCGATTTGTGTGAGAGCTGGAATACTGCTAGGGTGCTCAAACCGAAATAGGTGATTTTCTTGAGGGCTTACTCCTCAAGCCTTTGACCCCGCGATAAAATCCATAAGGCGGTGGAACAACGTTAAGAGATGCTTTCCCATGGTAACCGGTGACAAACAATAGTTTACTACGCCATTTTCCCCTCGGGATTCTAAAACCTATGTGCACTATTGGTTCGGAATCAAGATTTTCCAAGTCCTCTACGTGGTTTCTCTATATTCACTAACCTGGTTAAAGCGCCAAACATTCGCTTTTCGCCCTCTCAATTTCGTAACCAACACCCTCACTATGAATGAATGAAAAAGAAGAAATGAAAAGAAAGCAGAACAAATGTTTGTG